TACCAAGGGGGCCGAGGGGTGAGGAAGAGTCGCAAGAGGGCCTGAGCGGTGATGTGGAGTACTAAGGGGGCCGTGAATGCTTGAATCGCTACGAAACTCGTTCCATCCTGCGTCGATGACGTCACACGTTTCCCCCACTCCTGTTTGAACCAAAAATTGCAGAAAGTTTAGCTCCATAAGAAAATACATGGGATTTTGTGCCAGAACATACTTTGTTCATCTACCGGGCGTGATAGCTGATTGGTTGATTGAATGACGGTAAAAGTGGAAAAGTGGAGGTGGTCTGAAGTGGGCTTTGAAGGCTAAGGCTCAGTTTACACATAATGGACGTCTGGTAGAGACGAGGCGCTGACCTTTACTCCTTTCGTGTGAAGTGGGCCTGAGGTCCAAAATGAATGAACCTTAGCCGTTTTCCCATGTTAATCTCCATAAGGAATGGGCCAGAACTCTTGCAGCCTATTTACTTCGTAGTCTTCCTCACCAATGAAACCGTCATGGCTGACAGTCAATTAAATGTGAAAAACATATTGCAAATCACATGTTTCATCTGGCGATCAAGTTGAGGAAATCTCTCTCTTCTATCAAAACATTCAATGCTTAAAAAATAAAACCAACGCTATGGAACATTTTTTATCCATCAATTCATCAATAAAATTTCTTTGTTTCACGGAACATTGGATGAACTCAAATGAAATTTTTATATTTTAAATATAAATTAGTTTTATTTCAGTTTTTCGTTATGAATGTTACCAAGTCCCTCTTGTATAGACGGACAGAAGAACATACTTTGTTGTAATGATCATCGCCTTGGTTTTAGTGATATCAAGTTTCAGTTTATTTAGTCCAAGGTAAAACTCAACATTTTTCAATGAATTATTCATCTTTTCAATAGCGACTTGCAAGGTTTTATCGTAGGTATATATTAATGTATCATCTGCAAATAAGTTATTCACATGATCATCATCTACGTAATTGATATCGTTTATATAAATCAGAAATAGTAAAGGTCCTAATGCACTACCTTGTGGAACTCCAAAATCATTTACTAACTCTTGTGAGTAGCACCCTATTAATTTTTATTTGACTCCGCGAACTGAGGTAACTTTTCATTCACTTTAAAACTACATCACCAATACCATAATATTTGAGCTTTTGGATTAATATATCACCGTCTGTTGTTTCGAATGCCCTCTTTAAATCCAAGAATGTACAAACAACGTAATTATCTTTATCAATTTTTTCTTTCCAATTTGTTATTGTGAACTGTAAGGCAGCCTCACACGAATGTTTTTTTCTGAAGCCTGACTGACAACCTAAAAGTAACCTGCTTTCATCAAAGTATTTGTTGAGTTCCTCATATACTGCTAATTCCAATACTTTTTCAAGGGTTGGAAGAGTATTGATAGGACGAAAATAACATGCTTCATAATTATTATTCAAGTATTCAAGTTGCCCTCAATGAAAAAGGGACCAATGATATGGTTTCCTACAATCCCTGCCCAAACATTAATCTTTTGAGGGTATTGCATGTGTTCTTCTCCCATCCAGTGAGGATTTTCCGTTGACCAGTAGCGGCAATTTTGCCGATTAGCATGACCGTTAAGAGACAAAGTACACTCTTCAGAAAACATAACGTCTTCTAATTGGATGATATTGTTATCCAACATGTCCCTCATTTGATCACAAAAATAGGTTATTCTATCAAAATCGTCTTCCATGAGCTCCTGAGTGGGTATCATTTTATACGGATGCATTTTCATCTAAATGTTTACTATCGATGTATGGCTAACATTGAATGTAGTGGATGCCTGTCTACTCGATGTATGTGGGTTTTCCTCAAACTCAAGTATCACATCTAATTTGAGTTCATCACTAATTGCATTGGCAGCTGCTTTTTTTATCTGCCCCCACATGACCAAGCTCGCGAAACTGCTTCTCTATTTTGTTTATTGTTCCTCGAGAAGTGGGCGATAAATTAGGAAATTCATCATGAAACAGGCGAGCTACTTTCTGTTGTGTTCAGGTTTTAATCTCCGTAACCAATCATTTGAAAAAATGTTATTTTATGCATTTCCGTTAATCTAACCATTTGTCAGACTTGAAGTTAACGAACTTTAAACTTAAATTTAAATACTGACAACTATGTTGTAACATACAAAACAAGTCGACAAGGCGTTTTAAACTAACGTTGCCACAGAAATTATTTACAGTTTTTTAAAGGATACCATCTAAAAAGAACATTGATATGGTTTTTGCTTACTTTCTTATTATCAATACCTCAACATGAAATTAGTTTTGAGTATATTGCAATAAGTTTTGAGTGTATTCTATCGGCCACATGATTTTAATTTAGTTTATCTTAATTGTTGCAATAAACTTGAATAGAGAATGAAGAGACCTTTCAAGCGATATATCACAAGCCTACACTTCCCATTTAAAAAATTGTGAGTTTTAAAATATGTACACTAACCGAAATAATAAATTCATTCACTTGGCTTTTACACACTGTATATAAAAGAAGAAAGGCGAAAATAAGCCAATCAATTGCAATCTTTTCACAGTCTTTTTGAGTGATTGAGAAGGTTTTTGTATTTCTTGTTCCAGGGAATAATTACTACCATTCATTATTTTGTGAATTACTCTAAGATCTGATTCCAACCTTCTATGAGCCAGAGTATTCAAGTTGAGAATGTCCAAAATAGTTTTATAGTTATATTCACCAATATGATATGCCAATTTATATGCAGAGTACATCAAAAACTTATTTTGAACACTTTCAAACATATCAATATCCACATGATATGAAGGGCATCAAATTGTGGAATTGTATTCGATTATTGATTCGATTATGTTATCCTGTATTGACTATGTTTCCTAAAGACTAAATGAATATTGTTACAAGTCTATAAAGTCGATATTTTTAACTTGCGTGTTAATGTTAATGTTGTTTAATTACTCAATTTTAAGCTAATAACCTGTAATGTTTTTAATTTTAGACTATTTCAGATATACTTTGTTGACGTATCGATAAACTGTATGTGTTTCTAAAGATTAAATAAAATTTATTATTATTATTATTAT